GCAACAGTAATCCGTCCAAATTGTTTGTACTTGTCAATAACAGTATGGACTGTTGATTTTGGTCGTTTTAAACTGTCGCTGATCTCTTGCTCAGTAAAACCACACTTCCATGCACCGATTATTTCGCCACGTTCAAAATCTGTAAGCTGGCGACGTTGGGTTATATTTTCTAAGGTTGACATATTTTTTTATATTTTCCGATAAAGAAAAAACTCAGCTTTCGAACGAGCTAAATTACGTTATAATTGGACACTTGCTTCGTAGTATAATAGAAAAATCCCCACCCTAAATTTATGTCGATCATTTCCTGATTGTAAACTTTTGTCCACCGAGTGTATTATTTTATTCAGGAAAAGTAGGGCTTTATATATATATATTAATACCAGGTTGGATACCCATTTGCCTCAATTACAATCGAGTTTTCAAAAATATATACTGTGGCTGGAAAGCTGAACACGGATTTCACGCTATCAGTTACCAAATGCAACCAGTTTTTCGTTAATTTTTATATTGATGCATACGACAAGTATTCGCAATAAAATATAATGAATGATTGATAATGATTTCTTGTTTTTAAAAACCCTAAGTGGTGGTGTAAGGAGAGTATGGTTGTAGTTTATAGCGCGAGACTTCATTGCTATGTGATAAAAGTTATGTCCATTTAAATAATACATGTATATGCATATTTCCTTTTTTTACAATTGTCTTAAAGATAGATATCACAAAATTAATGAATAATAATACACCGCGAGAAAAACGCGTATCGCTGATCACCACCATCGTTGATAATCCCAATCCATAATGTCTGCTGGTGGAGATGAGCATGCTTATTACACGAGCGCTCATTTTCCCTCGTTTTTGTTGGTATGAGATCGGGTCGAATACTCGATTATGGAAGATTTGACTTTAATTCACAGATCACCTACGCCTTAATACAGTCTTTGATGACAGATGACCCAGTAAGTCGCCTACCGTTCCCCAACACCGTCTCGAACGTCAGGCAACCAAGAAGATTTCCTACACCCCAACGCCATCTTGAATGACAAACGACCTAGCAGGTCGCTGCCACCAATTCCCGCCGTATATATGATCTCGAGACCTTTCCATTTATAACCGTGCCGATATCATTCATTGTCTGATTTCATAAAATTGTCCCACCGTCAGAATCGCCTGTGTGCATTCTTGAACAATGAGAAGAAAAATCAATGATTATGAGACATCTCTCACATATATAACTGAGAATGAATTGAGCCTTACCAGTTCTATTGCTTTTCTACTCGTAGTCTTATACTATATAATATGGAAGATTTGACTATAATTCACACACATCCGCCGGGTCGGCTAGAAGCATTGAACGTTTAAACAACCTAGCAGGTCCACGCTCAAAGGGACAGATGCTAGGTCAGCTAGCTAAACGTCAGGGATTAGCGAGTAACCTACGTCCCCTAATACTGCCTCGAACGTCAGGCAACCTAACAGATCACCTACGCCTGAATACAGTCTTAGATGACAGATGACCCAGTAAGTCGCCTACCGTTCCCTAACACCGTCTCGAACGTCAGGCAACCTAGCAGGTTTCCTACGCCCCAACGCCGTCTTGAATGACAAACGACCTAGCAGGTCGCTGCCACCAATTCCCGCCGTATATATGATCTTGTGATCTTTCCATTTATAAACGTGCCGATATCACTTATTATCTGATGTCACAACAAAACTGTTCCACCGTCTGAATATAATATAATCGCCTGTGTGCATTCTTGAATAATGAGAAGAAAAATTAATGATTAAGAGATCTCTCTCACATATATATATATATAACTGAGAATGACTTGAAGCTTACCAGTTCTATTGCTCTTCTAATTGTAGAATATGGAAGACTCGATTATAATTCATACACATCCGCCGGGTCGGCTAGAAGCATTGAACATTGAAACAACCTAGCAGGTCATCCACGCTCAACGGGACAGATGCCAGATCAGCTAGCTGAACGCCAGGGATTTAGCGAGTAACCTACCGTCCCCTAACACTGCCTCGAACGTCAGGCAACCTAGCAGATCACCTACGCTGACCACAGTCTTAGATGACAGATGACCCAGTAAGTCGCCTACCGTTCCCTGACACCGTCTCGAACGTCAGGCAACCAAGAAGGTTTCCTACGCCCCAACGCCATCTTGAATGACAAACGACCTAGCAGGTCGCTGCCACCAATTCCCGCCGTCTATATGATCTTGTGATCTTTCCATTTATAACTGTGCTGATATCATTCATTATCTGATTTCATAACAAAACTGTCCCACTATCGGAATATAATATAATTACCTGCACACATTGCTGAATGATGAGAAGAAAACAAATGATTAAGAGACATCTCTCATATATATAACTGAGAATGGCTTGAAGCTTACCAATTCTATTGCTATTCTACTTGTGGTCGCATACTATATAATATGGAATATTTGACTATATATAATTCACACACATCCGCCGGGTCGGCCAGAAGCATTGAACGTCGAAGCAACCTAGCAGGTCATCCGCGTTCAACGAGACTGATGCCAGGTCAGCTAAGGTGACTTAGTAAATCACCTACTGTCCTCCAACACTGCCTCGAACGTCAGAACACCTAGTATGTCACCTACACCTGAACAGTCTTGGATAGCAGACCAATTCCCGCCGTACTTCTAACATAGAAGCTCTTACACTCGCTTGTATTTTGCAATTGTCGAGGCTAATGTTAATTAATGATTCTGAACAGTTGTTTGCTCCATGCTCCTATTGAAATAACATTGTGCGTATGATAACCTATTATTATTTATTTATGATTAGTAAAATGAATCATTTGAACTCAAACTCAATAACTAAAAAATAAACAACTTAATAGGAAAATATTCAGCATACCATTCCAAAAAGCATAAACTCTACGCGATAAAAGGCCACATGAACATGCTATAAAGAACGCGAATAAGGTGACGGGTAAAGGCGCAAGTCATGAGTATGATGGCGGTTTGTCTTCTTGTGCTACTCGTAACGGTGGTTTAGACCTATATTTTTTGAATTCTACGCGTTTTTCCTTCTTATATAGGCATAAGTTATAACGTATAAGCGAGCTTCTCAATTCGTTGGCAAAATTGTATTTGAACAACAGGTACAACTATTATTTATATTGAAATATAATAGTCATAATTTGCTTGTATGTTGATCAGATAGAGCGTAAACGCGTGTGATGACAGCGTAATGGCAACGTGGTGCTGGTGTGAGAAATAACGAAATGGAAGAGTAAGTGAAAAGAACTTGTCTTGAAAAGAATAGTGGTAAAACGGAATGTGTATTGGTGGCGACTAACAACTGCGTAATGTGCGTTGCGACGAATTGAAATGAGCGGGAAGATGACAACAGTGATAATTTATTGTAAAAGATTTTTCTTTAGGGACAAGAATACCATTACTGATGGAAAAAAAATTGTTCACGTGGACTGCGAGACTATGATACTCACGGAATTATAGCATAGCAGACAAACTCTAAATTTGGTAATGAGTAACAGTGGCTTGACTTTATTTAATAAAAATTTTTTTATATACTTTAAAGTACTTTGTATTCTTGTAATTATTCGAAATCCACCAATTAAATTC